GCCCACCAACATGGGAACTCATTCCAGGGAGAGCTCTACGCCACCTGCCCAGCTTTCTGAGTGTGTGCAGTCAGTAAGCAGTGTCAGTGATGGGGCTACTGGGCAGGAAGGATGCCCCGGCTGTGTAGGAGTGCTGGTTGCGTGAAAGGAAAGTGATGAACTCACAGCAAAAAGCCAGCAGCAAGTGGCTCTGACTCCTGCCCCAGGTTATAAGTCCCAGCAGGGAACCACCACTGCCCCCCAATCAGCCTGTTTGCTACTGTTCATTGCTCTTCATCTGCTCTTTATCTGAAAGCCTTCAAAAGCTCTCCTTCAAGTGAAATGACTACAGCAAGCCACTTTGCATGTTGCTGGGAATAAGAGTTTTGGGGAAATTGGTATTCTTCCAAAGGGTAGAAATATAGTAATAACCTTTATCTGAATGCTTACCATGTGGCAGGTACCATGAGAGGAGCTTTGCATTTAATTCTTATCCCTTTCCTAGGAGGAGAAAATGATGGTCCATTTCACAGATGAGGTACCAGAGAAAGTGTAGAGAGCTGAAGCTCTTGGAGATCTCAGGTGGGCATCAGGGCAATGGCAGGTCTGGGAGAGTATCTGAAAATGAGAGGTGGGCCAGCTGGTTGCTTGAGGCCTGGCAGCCTCTGCAGAGGCAAAACAGGCCAGAGAGGACAGCAGCATGTCACAGCCTGCCAGCAGATCAAAGCCTAATCTAGGAGATAGAGGGCCTAGATGAACAGACAGCAGTGACTTGAATGCTGCGGCCTAGGACGAGCATCAAACGATTGGACCCATGGGCCCATCTCTTGCGCAGAGGCCCTGCTGGCCTTGTTCGTCAGGTGGGGTGGTGCTGTCTCCCTTCCCCCATCAGTTCCCTCCTCCATTAGGGCTCAGCTCTCCCAGAGTAGAAGCAGATGTTCTAATGCAGAGCAGCTGCCATTGCCCAGCACATTAATACGATTACTGCCTGCCTGCTGTGGGCCCAGCAGCTGTACCATGGGACAAGGGCTGCAGAGATTTCTCCTTGGTGGGAAGATGTATGGCACAGTGGGGATGCCAAGGCTACCCCTGGGGACCTCTGTGGGCCACTTTAGTCTCACCCAGCTGGGTGGGAATGGAGCACCTGGTGGGGCCTTCTTTGGGTAGAAGGGGCTACTCCTGTCAGTGTTCACCTTCCCTTACTCAGCACCTTTGCAGCAATCTGGACTCAGTTGGTGAAGCCCCCTTCTCTGAGGAGAAGTTGTAGTGCTGGGTGGAGAGCTGGGTGCCCATAATCAGCAGGGTGCAAACAAAACTCTAGGCCATGTGCCAGCTTATCTGATAGGAAAGAGCCGTCAGGTCCTGATGGAAAAGGGCTCCAGCTGGAGGAATGAGTGAGCGAGGCCACTACTCCACTGCTCCTGGGGCACCTAGCCTGTGTCCTGCTGGGGAGCCAGGGTCTTTGCCCTACCCACTCCACCCAGATTTCATGTTGTGGCTCCACCCATCTCCTTTGCTGGCCCCCTTCTCTGCTGGAGCTGCTCCTAGGCTGCACCCCTGACTGTCCCAGTGTTCCCCCCTGTTTCCTGCCTGGCTGCCAGCACCACGCCCTTGTCTTGCCACTCATGACTTCCCGCCTGAGTCACAACTGGAAAGACAAAGGGACCACCCTGAGACCAGGGATAGAGACCTGTTTTGCTTACCTGTCAAATGAGGCTCTTTTTGCAGTGACTTCTGCTGGGAACAGAGAAGGTCCTCCTCTTAGAATCTGAGAGGTCTTAGCAGGGGAAACTGAGACTTGAAGGGGACAGAGAGGTGGGCCCTCAACTGACTGGGCCAGGGAGCAAGTATCCTGGTTCCAGCCCAGCCTGCTCAAATGCTTCCCACCTTGGTGTTTACCAGGTCTGCTGCTAGGAAAATCAGATGCAAAGCAAGTTTATGCTGTCATCTCTATTTCTGGTCAGGGTCACAGAGTGTCCTATGCCGCCTACTAAGAGAGTGGTCAAAGGGTCAGAAAGCCTCTCTACTCCCAGTGGCCAGATAGGGAAACTGATGCCTCAGGTGGCAGGGATCCCAAGGTCACACAAGAGGGCATAACTGTCACCCTAGACCTCAGTTCTCCTGTGCCCCGGACAGCTGCCCCCTCTGAGTTTCAGCTCACCTGGCTGGGGTCAGAATGATCAATCTGATCCATGACTTCACATCCTTGGCTCCACTTCTGGGGGGGTTTGGAGGGGTTTGGTGGCAATCCTGGCTGCAACTCTGTGGCTCTTCTGAATCTGCTTGAGGTTGTGCTCCCTTCCTCCTGCTCTGGGGGAGTAAGTGGGGAAGGATAGTCAGGTGACCATTGCTGCCCTTCTGACCTGATGAATATTTTGGGCCCCAGGAGAATGGGCCTCAGTAACCAGGCATCACTGTAAGACTTTCCTAGGACCTCTTCTCATGTCCCCACACGGCAGGTAGAAGAGTGTTAGTATGTGGAGTCTTGGTTGCTTCTCTGTCATGCATACCCTAATGGGAAAGGGGGGGGTGCTGCTATCTGACAGCGGTCCGGGCAAATATACTGGGTCTGGTATCTCTCGTGCCCAGGCGCTAAAGCGATAGAGGGAATTGCCCTAGCCATCACCCCCAGCCTACCCAGAGCATGTACTTTTGTGCCACTGCAGTCCCCCTTCCCCTGATCCTGGAAGGGGGCCCAGGACAGTCAGAAGCCCAGTGACTCAGGAATCTGGTGGCATTTGTGAGGAAAGCACAGACCATTCCCCTCAACAGCTGCTGGAATGTGGACATATCCAGACCCACTCCTGTGAGGGCAACAGCTGTGCCTGTTTCACCTGGTGAACATGGGTCTGGCGCAGAGGAGGTGAAGGCAGGCAGGGGCCTTGGTGAAGCCTGCTGCCCTGTCCCCGTGCCTGCTGCTGAAGGGACCAGAGCTCTGAAGGGACCAGAGTCTGCCTGGGAGGTAGAGAGTGAACCCAGTGACAAGTGCAGCTAGGCCCCAAGGCCTATGTGGTCCAGCTGTAGAACAAGGCACTCAGGACAGCTCTAGGAGGTACAGCATGATGGGCAAGGCATAAGGGACTCTGACCTCAACCTCTCTGGGTCTCCGTTGCCTTATTTATTAGATAGCGGTAAGATTAGAACCTATCGCCCAGGATTGCTGTGAAGAGATTAAAGTCATTGGTGGATATAATAGATGTAAAGCAGCATCTGGCACATAGTGGGTGCTATCTAGAGCTTTTCTGCAGCAATCGTTGCTGATGTTATGTTGCTGCATGCATGCGTGCACACACGTGGGCACCTTCATCCTCTGAGATTGTCTTGTCCAACTCCGAGGGATGCTGGTGTGGGGCAGGGTCCCCAAGTTTGGCCTCCCCGCAAACCCTGTTACCCACCCTGCTAAGCTGCACAGAAGGACAGACCTGTACAATGGTCGGGAGAATTGAGACACTGATTGGGGCGTGAGGCAAACATGCCTAGCAAAGGGAACAGCATGAGCAAAAGGCCTGTAGGTGGCAAGAGGCAGTGCTGGAGGTACAGTTATGACTGGCAGTGATGGGTCAGGAGCACAGAGTCTGAGCAAAGGCTAGAAGAAGAGTGGTGCCCCACTGAGGGCCCTTACCCTGGAGCTCAGGACAGGCAGCAAGGTGAGGTCTTGTCTCCACTCCTAGTTCTCAGCCAGGGATATTAGTGACCCTCCTGGTCCTTCCTTGAACAGACTGTCTAGGGAATGCAGGTTCCTGGACTGTACTCCTTAGGATCTGGCTCTGTGTGTCTGGGATGGGACATGGGAATCTAACTTTTTAAACAACCCCCACCCCCCAGGGCATTGTCCTGCAGGGTCTGAGCCACATTTTGAAAAGGGTAGGGTAGACCAGGCATTATGGTCCCATGCAACCCCTTGCCCTTCTGAGACCTGGCTGCATGATCTTGGACTAAGACTTTTTCTGAGCCTCAGTGTCCTCATCTGTAAAACGGGAGCAGAAACAGTATCTGCTTATGGGGCTGCTGTGACAACATGGGAGAGAATGCAGCAAATCTCTCAGTATCAGCTAAGGAGAAATATGAGGCAGGGGCTTATCCAGGCCAGGGAAGAAGCTTGAGTGAGCATGTGTGTGTAAGATGCCCTGTGTTTCCCAGGTTCTTTTTATTTATTTTATTATTTACTTTTTTTTAAAGTCAGAGTTTCACTCTGTTGCCCAGGCTAGAGTGCAGTGGCATGCTCACAGCCACCACAGCCTCGACCTGCTGGACTCAGATGATCCTTCCGCCTCAGCCTTCCAAGTAGCTGGAAACACAGGCATGTGCCACCACGCCTGGCTATTTTTTAATTTATTTATTGTAGAGATGAGGTCTTGCCATGTTGCTCAGGCTGGTCTTGAACCCCTGAACTCAGGCTGTCCTCTCACCTCTGCCTCCCAAAGTGCTAGGATTACAGGCTTGAGCCACCACACCCAGCTGTCTTCCGGGTTCTAATCTCCATCTGCTTGGGGCACACCTGGGCCCAGCAAGCAAGGGCTGGGTCTTGAGCTATGTTTAGGAGGCAAGAGTGTGACAATGTGTCCCTGCTTAGGCCCCCTGGCAGCTAGGGCTCAGAGTGTGGGGAGAAGAGAGCCTACTACCCTCCTAGAATATGCAGGGTGCCTTCCTTGCCACCTCTGTCCAAGGTACGCTGTTGGCAAGCACCAGATGCACTGGGTGCATCCTGTGTATGTAAGAACAATAGGGTGTCCTCTGCAGGGCTGCCCTCAAGTCTCCAGCCAAGACTCCTGAACTCAACCAGGGCAGTGGGAAGCCACAGCAGGCAGCAGAGCTTTTGGGAGGCAAAGGCCTGCAGAGACTGTCATGGGGCACAGGTGCTCTAGGTTGCCTTGACCGTGGCCCCACCAGCTACCTCCATCTCACTGTGCAACTGATGGGGAGGGTAAGTTCTGCCTCCAGGGCTATAGGTGGCTGGGCACTTGTAGGTCTCTGGAGTTTGTCTGGGCCTGCCCCCTGACCACCTGTGCCCTCTGTTCCAGGTGCTGGAGAGTCAGGGAAGAGCACCATTGTCAAGCAGATGAAGTAAGTGCTGTGCGCAGGATGCGGCTCCCAAATCTTAATTTATCTTCTTCCTCTGGGCCTATACTGCCCCCAGATACAGGCCCAGCCAGGCTTAGCCAGGTCCAGGACCTTCTCAGAGGCAGCCATCTATCCTCAGGTCCTAGTGGGTCAGGGGCAGTTTTCCCTTTTCTGAAGCAGGTCCCTGCAAGCCCCAGCAGCCCCAGGCAGCCATGGGAGCTTCCTGTTCTTGAGTACACTAACCCTTGACCCCTGGCTGTCAGGATCATCCACGAGGATGGCTACTCCGAGGAGGAATGCCGGCAGTATCGGGCAGTCGTCTACAGCAACACCATCCAGTCAATCATGGCCATCGTCAAGGCCATGGGCAACCTGCAGATTGACTTTGCCGACCCTTCCCGCGCGGTATGTGCACTCCACCCCATCCTCCCTCATCTCCCAAAAGACTTCAGGGAAGGTCTTGTCCTGGGGAACCTAAGACTACCCCAGCCTGGGCCCCATTCCAGAGGTCCCCCTGCCTTTGACAATCAGGGTGGGGGTACACTCCTTTGACTGGCTGACCACCCACCGCTGTGCCCAGGACGACGCCAGGCAGCTGTTTGCACTGTCTTGCACTGCCGAGGAGCAGGGCGTGCTCCCTGATGACCTCTCCGGCGTCATCCGGAGGCTCTGGGCTGACCATGGTGTGCAGGCCTGCTTTGGCCGCTCGAGGGAATACCAGCTCAACGACTCAGCCGCCTAGTGAGTGCTCCAAGGGACTGGGCAGGGCAGCGGGTGGGAGAGGTCTGGACTACGGGCTGGACTAGAGGCCCTGAGCATCCCCAAAAGGATACTGCTGGTCTTTGTTTACGAAACTGATGACTATCAGCCAGGGCCTTGGGGTTTTTTTGGGTGGGGGTGGGCTGGGGTGGCATGATACTGAAAGGCCAGAAGGAATGCAGGCAGATAGCTTGTGCAGTACGTCTCTGCCAGGCCACTGAGTCTGATGTGTCTTTACACACAATCATTCTGAAGAACATTTGCTGCCACCTGCTCTGTGCCAAGCCCAGTGCTAGGCCTCAAGGAGATAATGAAGTGATGACTGGAGCAGACAAGTCTCCATGCAGTGACAACTTAGGGTGTCAGTGTCATGGTGGGGGTGGGATGGCCCAGAGGAGAAGTGCCTCAGCTGAGCTCTGAATGAGAGTTAACCAGGAGAGGATTCCAGGCAGGGGCACAGCATGTGCAGAATCCTTGTGGCAGTAGAGAGCTGACTGTGTTTAAGGACACAGGCTGTTCAGGCTGGCTGGAGAGAAGAGGTTATCTGGGAGATGATAGGTATGTATGCAGGTTGTAGTTGTGGACCCCAGATCTGACCCTTACTGTCCCTGTACTGAGCCCAGGACTCATTTGAGGGAATCACAAGGGGCCCCAGGAATCCCAGAGGCATGACGGGCCTGGACCCTCTAGGCTTGGCCTACAGTTTAAGCCCCTTCCCTGCAGTACTTACCATAGGGTAGGACTGGTACATGGTGCTGAAGACCCCAGGGGGAGCAGGACAGACAGCCTGTTAGCCAGTGAGGATATGTGTAGGGGACAGCCACAGGGTTTGAATGATCTCACCAGGTAGGCTACTGTCCCTGTGCTGTAACTCCCCCCCACCTCTGCTTTTTCTGCTTAAGCATTCCCTCTGTCTGGAGCACCCTTTTGGCTCCTACTGCTCGTCCTCCAACCCTGAGCTCACCCAGAGGGTCTGGACCTTGGCAAGGGTGGATGGGAGGAGGGTCTTGTCTGGCAGTGATTCCTGAACCTTGTCCTGGTCACATGGACAGCACCCCCCCCTTCTGCAGCCTGAACACCCTTGTAAATGTGTTCCCCCTACGGGAGCTGCAGAATCACAGCTAAATGCGATAGGGGGCTCCAGTCTCAGCACTGTCCCTCCCAGAGATCACAGGCTCAGCCGCCAACAGAGTTTGTCAGTCATATAGGCAGGGATTTCAGTGTGCATGACATTCAAAGGAGCAGGGATAGAGCCACCTTCAGGCCACTTCACACTTTTCCATCATCCTGTTTCTTCATTCTTCAGACATTAGGCACCCACTGTGTGTCTAGCACTGTTTTGGGTGTAAAGATTTGGCAATAAACAAAGGCACTGCTTTCCTAGCAGGTTTATTCCTTGACAAGATCACCTGGGGGTGAATGCACATTAGAACATCACAGGGAACAGGGATACTCTTCACAGCAATCCTCCAAGACTGCAGTGGGGCAGGGGGTTCCTGGAGTGAACCCATCTGTTGGGGAGAAAAGAGAGGCTGGTGTGGAACCGACCATGTATCCTCTAGGTTGGGGGCTCTGGCAGTAAGGGGCGGGGCATGGTATGTAGGTCACGGCACATGCGTCATGGTGCCCCCACGGCCCTTCCTGTTTTTCTGTTCTGTCCCTTGCTTCTCTGAGATAATTTCCCTCTGGCCTGGTTTGGCCTGGCTGCTTGTGGGAGCCAAGGGCTGTCCCCAGCAGCCTTGCCCCAGGAGCAAGAAGTCGGCACTGGGCAGCAGCCTGGAGGCCTGGACTCAGCCCCCAGGGCAAGGCAAGGCTATTGAGGCAGGCAGCAGAGCAGGGCCTTGCAGGGGTGGCATTGATACTAATTAAGGGAGCTGGTAATGAGGAACCTCTGGGACTCCTGCCAAGCAGGTGTCTATGCCCTCTCCCTGAGGAGCCCAGGTTTCACTGGGTACTACTGGGCTGAGAGTCCACTGGGCCTGACAGGCCACAACCTGTCCAGCCCCATATCAAGGGACTGCACCAGGCTATGCTGCGGCTGGTGCCATAATTGCATCGATTAGCATCTTGAATCCCTCACTGAAGAATTAATTTGTCCCCCTTCCATCCCCTTTGCCTGAAGCTCCAGCATCCTAGATCCTGTCCAAGGCAGGCCTATCTCAGACCCTGGGTGTGTGGCCTTGACTGACTGGCCAGCCGGCCACAGAACTGTACCTCCTCCCTGTCTCATTCCATGGATGGGAGGCAGGGGGCTCTGAATCCAGGTTTCTTCATTTGAGCAGTGAATGTAATGCAGGCAAGGATTAAAGAAGCAAGGGCTAGCCTGGGCAACATAGCAGGACCCCATCTCTACACAAAAATTTTTTTTTTAAGTAACCACAAGTGGTGGTATGTACCTGTAGTCCTAGCTTCTTGGAGGATCGCCTGAGCTGAGTTCAAGGCTGCAGTGATCTATGGTCACACCACTGCACGCTAACCTGGGTGACAGAGTGAAACCTTGTCTCAAAAAAAATAAGCAGCCGGGCTCGGTGGCTCAGCCTGTAATCCCGCGCCTTTGGGAGGCTGAGGTGAGTGGATTGCCCGAGCCCGCGGGTTCGAGACCCGCCTGGGCAGCGAGACCTCATCTCTACAATAAATCAAAAAATCAGCTGGGCGTTGTAGCGCGCGCCTATAATTCCGGCTACTAGGAAGGCTGAGGCGGAAGGATCGCCGGAGCCCAGCAGGTTGAGGCTGTGGTGGCCGGGAGCGGCCACTGCACTCCAGTCTGGGCGACAGAGTGAGACTCCAACTCAAAAAAAAGAAAAAAAAATAAAATAAAATAAGCAAAGGCTTCACCTGAGAAATAGGTGGATAGGAGGGAAGGGGCCTCTTATAGCTGGCCTGGGTCTGGGTAAGGAGGCCCCATGCTGGCCCTGCCGACACTCCTGCCTCACCCCCAGTTACCTGAATGATTTGGAGCGCATCGCACAGAGCGACTACATTCCCACGCAGCAGGACGTGCTACGGACCCGTGTAAAGACCACGGGTATTGTGGAGACTCACTTCACCTTCAAGGACCTTCACTTCAAGTGAGTGGGCCTGTGGACCGGGTGGAAGGGTAGGACCTGCCAGCCTTTTGGGTAGCAGAGGGAGGACTAGTCTGGGATCCCCCAGCCCCACTGTGAGGTTTTTCAAAGCTGTGTTCTAGGAAAACATGTCCTAATCACCTAGTGAATCAGATGTCAGGATCCATGACACCTCCTGCCAGCTGCTCACATCCTCTAATGCACTTGCCCTGTGTGGCTGCAGCCTGCCCTGCTGTCCAGGCCCCTGAACCTGTTTGTCCAGACATGTGCTGGCCCAAAAACCAGGGGTGAGGTGGGCAAGTGTGGATGATTCCACGAAAGCAGCTGCCCCACTCTGGGCAGGGCTCTGTCCTCAATCTGCCAACTGTGAGATGGGGCAGGGAGCCTCCCCTTGGATTTCCTTCTTGGAGCTAAGGGGATTCTGTGTCTGCAGGATGTTTGATGTGGGTGGTCAGCGGTCTGAGCGGAAGAAGTGGATCCACTGCTTTGAGGGCGTCACAGCCATCATCTTCTGTGTAGCCTTGAGCGCCTATGACTTGGTGTTAGCTGAGGACGAGGAGATGGTGAGAGGCTGAGAGAACACTGCGGGTGGTGGGGGGAGCAGTGGCTGGTGTTGACCTCACTGTCCTGCTCCCAGAACCGCATGCATGAGAGCATGAAGCTGTTTGATAGCATCTGCAACAACAAGTGGTTCACAGACACGTCCATCATCCTCTTCCTCAACAAGAAGGACCTGTTCGAGGAGAAGATCACACACAGCCCCCTGACCATCTGCTTCCCGGAGTATACAGGTGTGGGCACCATGGGGATAGAGCCTCTGGGGAGGGCGGTGCCTGTCTCAAGAGGACCTGGTAGTGACTAAGTAGCCCTCAGGCGCCCCCCGCTGGACAGAAGGGTAACCGTAGGATACATGCAGGGGCTGGGACATCCCTTAAGCTTGTGAACGTACACATGGGGGCCCTTTTTAACTAATTCGGGCATGTACCCTGAACATGTGCACATAGGCGTCCTCCACACAATCAGGTGCCCTCTTTGCACACTAAGGTGTGCATGTATTGTGCACATGCATGCACACATTATGTGTTTGTTCATCCACGTGCATGGAACCTTGCTGCACATGTGGGACTGCCCACCACACATGCAGCACAAGTGTTCACCATTTTGTCACCCTCAGGGGCCAACAAGTATGATGAGGCAGCCAGCTACATCCAGAGTAAGTTTGAGGACCTGAATAAGCGCAAAGACACCAAGGAGATCTACACGCACTTCACATGTGCCACTGACACCAAGAACGTGCAGTTTGTGTTTGATGCCGTCACTGATGTCATCATCAAGAACAACCTGAAGGACTGCGGCCTCTTCTGAGGGGCAGTGGGGCCTAGCAGGATGGTGAGCCAGCAGGGGGCGAGGCAGAGAGCTGGGACAGGTCAAAGTGGGACCATTGAGCTCAGAGAGTGGGTGGGGTGAGGACTAGGGAGAGACCCTGTAGCGGGGGGGTAAACCTGGAGGGGGGGAGGGACAATCGGCATGGGGGGACAGCACAGGCTGTGAATCAGATGAGTTGGGTATAAGGCAGTGAGCAGGCAGCACAGGTAAGCCTAACCCAGTGGTCCAGACAGAAGGGCCTGGCCTTGCCCTGAGACAGAACTAGGAGAATTCCTAATATTCCTAAGAGAATTCTCACCTCATTGCCCACCAAGCCATTGGCCTAGCCTGACTGAAGCTGGATGCTGGACCCAGCCACCTGCTCAATATGATCAACTCTGTGCCCAGCCTTAGCTCTTTCCCTAGGATCTACCTGAGGGTCCTGGGCTTGGGCTGGCCCCACTGGCCTTGGTAAAGGTAGGGATGACTCTGCCAGAGCTACAGACTCCCCTCTCCCATGTAACCCAGCAACAGAAAAGGGCTCCTGGGCAGCAATTGTGTCCCTGGTAACTAGTGGGTGGGAAAAAAGGAGAGTGTCATTGTCTAGGGAGATGAGAGGAGAGGTACACACTGGCTGTCTCCCAACCCATGCCCTGACTATACTCTACCTGCAGGGCCACCGCCGACTCTGCTCTCCTAGCCCTTGAGGAAGATGGGGGCAAGAAGACCACGCTCCCTGGCTGTTCCCCCTGGCCGCTTTTCTCCTCTTTCCTCTCTTTGTTCTCAGCATTCCCTGTCCTCTCCCTCAGCTCCAGACTTAGAAGAGGGGTTGCCGCAGGCCTCCCTGTTTAAAGCCCGCCCTTATCTGAGGTGCCGGGAACGGCCATGGTACCCCCTTTCTGGGCATCTGTTCTGGTTTTTTAACCACTGTCTTGTTCTGTGATGGGGGAGGGGAGCACATGCTGAGTCTCCCAAGGCCTGTCTGGAGGAGCACCCCTGGACCCCTGGCTTTGCCCAACACCAGTCCCTGCCCAAGTCCAAATGTTTACAGGGAGCCTCCTGCCCACCTCCCCACCCCTACAGCCGCTTGGAGGCCCCAAAGGAAAAAGCACAAGAAGCGTGAGACGCCACCATTCCTCAAGACCACAGTCCAACCTGCTCATTCTCGTAGCTTTTTAAAAAAATGAAAGTAAAGGAAAAAAAAAACTGCAAACCTAGAAAACTTTTTAGAGAAAAACTATTTAAAACTGTCAGATCCCGACCAGCACCCACCCAAGCCCCGTTCAGTGATTCCGTGCCTTGAGTGTGTCTGCCTGTTTACACCCATCCCTCTGCTGGCCGCCCCCGGGCGAGTGGCACCCCTGTCCTGCCCTCCACAGAATTAGGTTCCAAGGGCTGTTCCAGACAACTGCCAATGTCACTGAGGGCCCTGCCCCAGCGGCCCTGGGCCCAGGCTCCATTAACCTAAATGTAGCTCCTTAGCGCTAACCTAGGAACCGCCGCTGCCTGCTGAGGGGCCATCCCCCTCATGCCCTTGCCCCAGGCCTGGGGCTTTCAGCGTTGAACACTTCCTTGCTTTTTTCACATGTTTTATGGAATTGTTCACCTGGTTTGAAATAATAAAATGTAGAAAGAAAAAAAATGCCAAGAACTGCTGGGTTGTTTTTCTCTCCCAGGGGCAGAGACCCAGGCCAAGATGGTCCAAAGTAATGGTGATTCCCAACCTCAGTCCTCACCTGTGGCAGGGCCCTGGGTGCTCAACTTTCCAGGTGCTTCTTGGGTCCAGCGCTCTGGGTTTCACTTTTCCCACTTGGGTTAGCTCACATACTGGGGCCTGTGTGCTCCCTCTCTCCTCCCAGCACTGCAGCCTTGGGTCCTGGGCAGCCTTGAAGCCTGGCTACAGCAACTGGTCAACAACTGTTTTTCAAAGGGGCACTTCCACTTTGGGAGCAGAAGGGGTGTCCAGCGAGTCTTGAGTGCAGAAGGAGAATGTGACTTTTTTTTTTTTTTTAGTCAGAGTCTCACTGTTGCCCAGGCTGGAGTGCAAGTGGCATGCTCACTGCCACCGCAGGCTCCATCTGCTGGGCTCAGGTGATCTTTCCACCTCAGCCTTCCAAGTAGCTGGAACTATAGGCACACGCCACCATACCCGGCTAATTTTTTGATTTATTGAAGAGATGAAGTCTCGCCAAGTTGCCCAGGCTGGTCTTGAACCCCTAGACTCAGGCAGTCCTCTCATCTCCGCCTCCCAAAGTGCTGGGATTATAGGCATGAGCCACTGTGCTCTGCTGAGAATGTGACTTCTTACCTCCCAGGCACAAAGGCCCAAAGACAGGAGAGGACAGAGCCAGATGGGCAGTAGTCCCTTGGCCTGACTAAACAGAAAGCCAATACGTGCCCTGAGGCATGCTCAGAAAGGTGTCTGCCCCAGAGGACCCCCCTCCAAACCTGAGGGTGAGGGACAGTCAGGTAACCTCATTGCAGTGTGATGGTTGCCAGGAGCACTTGGCGGCTGCAGGTCATTAACCATGTTGGGACTAGGGCTGTGAATGTGGAGGGCTCCATGAGGCTATAGGAAGTGCCTGCGCATTGCTGGAGAAGGGCACTGCAGATGGCAGGGCCAGGATGCCTGTGGGGTGGGTCCTGAGTGCCAGGCGAGACGCCTGGAGTTTCTCCCACGGACTGCAGGGGCTGCTGCCGACTGAGTGTGGCTAGGCTCTCGAACACGGTGGGTCTTGGCTGGGTGGGGCTCTGAGGCGAGCAGCTCCGCCTCCGGCCGCCAGGGGGTGCCACAGCCTGTGCTTGGCGCCGCCGGGCTGGCCATAGAGGCTGACGTCAGCGGATCCCGCAGAGGCCGCTGGACACAAAGGCAGCTTTGTCAGGCGGCAGCGGCTCTGCGCTCGCAGCAGGACAAAGCGGCCTGGGCCAGGGGCGGGCCGGGGTCGGCGCCGCGGAGGCGGGAAAGGGGGGTTTGGGCCAGGGACCCAGGACCCCGCCTCCGCACACCTGCGTGTGCCCTGCGGCCTAGGCCCCTGGCGCTGGCAGGAGATGAGAGGCCGCCGCCGCCGCCCCGTCGGAAGAGCAACGCCCCCCCAGGCCCGGTTCCCGCCCCAGTACCTCGGGCCTTTCCTGCCCTTCCTGCCGACTGACAAGGAGAACAGGATCCCGCGTCCAACTCAGGATCTCCGCCTTCCTTCAAGGGGCTCAGGCCTGTACCCCGCTGAGCCCCAGATGTGCGCGCAGGAGCTCCAGTGCCTCGATGCTCGCCCAGCAGGAAGCGGCCGCCGGAGATGGTTCCTTCCTTCTGTCCTGAGGGGGAACCCTACACAGACAGAGGGACCATTGAGGGGCTGGCATTGTCTGCCTGACTCACGTGCCTCCCTCCCTGGGTGGGCCATGTGGGGCTCTGGCCAGGATCGCCCTTGTGCGCGTCTTGGCCTGGGTGGGATTCTGGCAAGCAGGACTTACCCCGGTGCAGACAGCGAGGCCCCCACCTGCCCCTGGCCCTCCTACCGGCTCCGATTTCGAGGGCATAAGGCTCCATTGTCCCAGCACTGGCGGAGGCAGCCTGTCAATTCAGCCTTGTGTTTGGTAGTTGGGAAATTCCCAGCCATGGGGATGGTAGGCAGGGATGGGCTGCCCAGGTGTCTCACACCCCAACTGGAGGGACTCCATGAGGTTGGAGATGTCTTGCACCCCAAGCGGAGGGACTTCAAGAGGCTGGCTCCTGGGCATTCCCCCATTACCTAGAGCTGCCCTGGACTGGACCAGCCATTCCTCAATCCTTGGGAGCAGCTGGGTGAGGAGAGCCAGAAGTTCAGTGCTCCCTGATCCTGTATCCCCAGAGCTCTCTCAGCCTAAGAAGGCCCATCTTTCTGTCTCCACCCATGGTCAACTGTAGCTGTGAGGCCCAGAACCCTTAGCAGGACATGAAGAGCCAGGCAGGGACCCAGGATCATGCTCCCAATGTGAGGTGGGTTGTGGGGACCGCCAACTTGTGGGGACCACCACGAGGCTGATCCATCTCCCAGAGGGCCTTGCCCACTCAAAATAATTGCTCCAGCTACTGATGTGGTGGCAGCCTTTGTATTTTTAACCCATTTGGTGGGTGGAGGAACAGCTGGGAAGAGAGAAAGAGACTAGCTCTAAGAGTCAGATAGTCCTTAGAGGGGAGAGTGAAGGGAGACCCAGTGGGGAGGAGCCAGGCTGGAAGCCTCTCCCCAGTTCCCCAAGTCGAAACACATACTCCCAGCATGTGGGTGGAAGCCCAGATGCCAGGTGCAGAATAGGAAGGGCCCCTCTCCTGGGTTAGAGCTGGGTCTGCTGCAGGGTCTGCCAAGGCCTAGAGGAAACTCTGTGTTCCAGTGCAGCCCATGGCTTCTGGTGATGTCAGGAAAACCTCCTACTCCCTTCACAGTTCCTCAGAATCATCCCATCCCACCCCACCCAGTCCCAGAGTGCCAAGCCAGCCACCAAGGCTGGAGAATACAAGCCCTGACTTCAGCTTCCTGACCAGTGGCATGGTCAGCCAGGTCCTAGCAGCCCTGGGAGTCAGGGAGGGCAAGAATAGGACTGCAGCATTTCTTGGCTGAGTTCTGGGTCTGGTCCCACTCCCAAAAAAACTGACCCCAATCCCAGTGTCTACTGCCCTAAAAGAGATCCTAGGGACCTTCTCTCTGCTGTGGGAATTTGCATTCCCCCAAACCCCTGCTCAGGCTCCCAGAGGGAAAGCAGGGTCTATGATCACCTGGGGTGACGGCTTCCAGCCAGCTGAGGTATGTGTGCAGCTGTGTGACAGCAAGTGTGTCCATGCCTGCCAGCCACTCAGCCCTCAGTTAATTACGTAATGGTGGGCACCAATATCCAAGGGGGTGGAGGTCGAAGCTATGGGTCCTATTCCCTGTCTTGGTTTCTCACCTTGCTGGAGATGCAGCCCTGTAGGTGATCTTGAGTGGGAGAGCAATCAGACTTCTCCCATTGACTCTGCTTTCTGACCACACTGAGGGTCAGGGGAGTCAAGGCCTTGGGACTGGAATAGGGTCAAGGAGGAGCCTGAGGTGTCCTTCCTCAGTCCTCCCCACCATCCCCATCAGGACCCAGCAGATCTAGGAAGGTGGAAGGGCACGTTATCTCTTGCCTCCCTGTGCCTGTCCTTTGCTGTGTCCTGGGGTCCCAGTGATGATAGCCCCTACCCAGTGACTTGAACCTGGCACTACAGGGGTCTGGGACTTCATAGAAGAAGGGTGGTAACCGAGATGGGTAGTGAATAGTGAAGAAGAGACCAGCAGATGACAAAGAGGAAAGGCCTAAGGGTGGAGGGCACAGCCTAAGCAAAGTCTTGTCAATAAAAGAAGTGATGCGCCCGTGGGTTCGAGACCCACCTGGGCAGCGAGACCTCATCTCTACAATAAATCAAAAAATCGGCCAGGCGTGGTAGTGCGCGCCTGTAGTTCCAGCTACTTGGAAGGCTGAGGCAGAAGGATCGCTGGAGCCCAGCAGGTCGAGGCTGCAGTGGCCGCAAGTGGCCACTGCACTCCAGTCTGGGTGACAGGGTGAGACTCCAACTCAAAAAAAAAAAGAAGTGATGCATCCCAGAAATGGGGCGGCTGGAGCACTGGCAGGATTGGCCCCTGCTGAGCTACAGAGGTGCTATGTATGAGTTGGACTGGGGAGCAGGAGACTACAGAGGGGAGGCATGGGAAGAGGAGTTGCAGAATGATCACAGGGACACAGCCTTGGAGGTAGGGTGAAGAGGTCAGGCTTCAAGATGCAGGGGAAAGAGGTGGGGCCTGATGGGCTGAGCAGTGCTAGGGTGGGTTGGGGACTTGGGAAGTGAGAAGACTGAGGAGTCTTTTGGGGAGGGAGGGCGGTTCAGGTAGAACCCAGGCATGGAGGGATCAGAGGATTGACGAAGTATTGTACTGGGGTGGGGGGCATGAGGAGAGGAGCTGAGTCTGAGAAAGGGCCCGTGCAGTTGGGATGGATGAGGCGGCAATGAAGGGTTTCCCTCAAGGCTGAGAGCCCAGGACGTGCAGAACTGAAGTGGCAACAGGTGCACACAACTGTGGTACCTCCACCGTGTGCTAGCTCTGTCTGGCCACCATTGACAGCTGCAGGGGAAATGAGAGGCGCAGGTTCCAGCTGATGAGTGCCTGTGTCAGGATTCAACCCTCCCTCTCTCTGGACTACTAAGAGGGTTGATACCCGGGACAGGTTCCCGAGCCCACAACTCTCCCTAGAATGTCAAGAGCCCCCCACCCAGTACTCCTGGAAGACTCTCCCCTGGCCAGTGAAGGGAATGTAGTATTTATGTAAATGTATGTTAATGAGCGTAACGTGCCCTCGGAGCCTCTCCCGGCTCTGGAGAAGGGTGGTAAAGGGAGGCCCCGCCTCCAGCCCCCTCTCTTCCCCACCCCTCCCTGCTGGGCAATGAAGAAAACAGGAGTGAGGGAAGAGCTGTGATGTGGCTTGCTGGGGGGGGCTCCCCCATCCCAGAGGGGCTGACCTCAGCCTGGGAGGAATGTGCAGGAGGCGGAGGGCGGGGGTGGAGCCGGTGGGGGCAGGGCCACCGGCAAAGGTCCAGGGTTCTTGGTGGCCCCTCCCTCAGCCCCTCAGCTCTGGCATGGTCCTTCGAAGGGAGGGGGAACTGGCAAGGAGGGGAGGAACTAACCTTTCAAAAAAAGATGGGCCAGGGGTCCCTGGTAATGTGGGGACCAGACTGGAGGTGGGTGGGGAAAGTGCCTGACAGACTATTTCCCAGGATATCCCCTGGGGTGAGTATTAGAGTGTCAAGGAAATTAGGCCTCAGGAGAAGACATGGCCTTCTCCCACTACCTCCCCCTACCATGCCTAAGTCCTCAGAGCAGCATGACCTGATACCCACGTGGCCAGAACAGGGGAAGATTGCGATGTTGGAGCCACCAGCCTTAATGGCCAAAGCAGGTGTGAGTGAGGAGCTGGAGATCCCATCCAGCCCGGGCTGGGTACTGAGAGGGTTGGCACAGCCTCCCTCAGATGGGGTCCCACCCTTGCCACACTGGACCAGAGTCCAGGCAAGGACAGAGGGGCAGGCCCAGCTGGTGATGAGGGGAGGGGTGGCAGGTGCTGGGACTTGGCACAACAATCCAGTTTTTTTCCAGAAAAAAATAGCCAAGCCCTTAGCAAGCTGTGCCACTGACACAGAGCAAGAACCCAGGCAGGCCTCTGTTCATGTATGTCCCAGCAAAGGATAGAGAGGCCCAGGAACTGGGATGGCCCTAGGGCAGGAGTATAGGCAGGAATAGGGACCCTAGTTGCCTCTCCTGATTTGCCCCATTCTGTTGAGACCCAGACCCAGGCTGAATTCCAGAATCCTTGGGGGCTTTCAGAGCCTCAGTGTGACCCACAGGTAATGACCTTGCTCCTAGAGTGCTGCCTCCACGGGCCCCTAGCATGGCCTGCCACACTTGGACCTGGGGCTGAGGAGCAGGAAGGAAACCTTGTAGGTACAGTGACAACTTGAGCTCCCTTTCCTGGGGACCTCAATTCCTTCCTACTCAAGGGAAGGGACACATCTGGAGGAGGGAGGGCAGTGCACAGGGCTCAGGGAACCCAGAGACAGCCCAGTTTCTTTGGCTGGAGGTTGAGTCCCAGGCTATTGGAAAGATGAGGGAGGGTCCTGGTCCCATTTCCCAGTGTGAATGCAGGGTTGGGGCGGTGGGGATGGGGGTGGGATGAAATAGACACTGGGATCCTGGGTCTGGAGAACTGAAGGCAGTGGGGGCAGATAGGGGGCACATTGGGGGTGGGTAGGGGCCTCAAAGACACTTGCTGATCTTGGCTGCTTGGGTGGAAAATTGTAAACAGCCAAAGAATTTTGTTTGCTTGCACAGGGCCAGGGGAGACTGAACAGGTCCAAGGCGAGAGGCAGCTAGTCCAGGAGTAAGAAAACGCCACATCCTGGAAACCCGAGAGCTCAGGCAGGGATCCATCACTTTACTTGCCCCCGAAGGCCCTGGGTCCTCCCACTGGCCCTTCATTCACCTGCCACCTTCATTCCAGGCCAGGCCAGGAACCCCAGGTCCTGAGACTCAGGAAGGAAGGGCATGGCCTCACTTCTACTTCCAGGGAACATGCACCTCTGTCCTGCCTGGCTGAATGGCATCCAGGGGATGGACAACAGAACTACACACATGTGACATGTCCCTATAGCCTTGCTGATCCCTGAGGAGCTTCTCATCAGCCTTGGGAGGTGACAGGAGAATGCCTTTTTTTTTTTTTGAGTTGAAGTCTCACTCTGTCGCCCAG